TTCGTGGGCTAAATGGATATATGGACGGGATATGAAATGTAAATGCAGAAATAATTAAACAAAAAAACCAATTACCGAGTCCATTAAGTTCCACTCAAAGCTGCTGCTTCGACACGCCGGTAAATTAGTATTTTAGTGACTCTGTGCCACGGAAAAGTACCTTTAAGTTACGTGACACTTGCAGAGCTGTAACTTGTCCTTAAACTTTGCCAACTGCCGGTGGCAGTCGAAGTTGCCGGGAGAACTATAAACACGGTGTTGCAGGCCCAACTTTCAGCCTGCGTGCCTCATGCTTAATGAGGTCGTTTCCGCTGGATGAAGACCTGGTCCTACCCTGGTTTCGACCTCTTACTTTGGGTGCACTGGCTGGAAACGGGAGCCAAAAAGGAGCCGCGAATTCAAGCAAGGACCCAAGCAACCGGAGAAGCCAAGCCAAGGAAGAGGAAGTAGCCGCAAGACCGCCAATTCGGTTTGCAGCGCTGGCTTGTCATGCATAAAATATTCAGTATTCAGTGAGAAATAATAAGCGAGATGTGACTGTAAATGTGCACTGCAATGAACGGAGCTGCAGGGATGACTCTATGCGCTATTTACAAGTACGTGGCTCTCAGGGTTAAGCATGGGTGACGTGGGTTAAGGGCCGCCCTCTGTGAAGCGACATGGGTGCTACGTCAACTATTAGCTGGGTTAATGTGAGTGAGTTACCTTTGTGAGTGCGACGATAAACTCGGCTGACTGCCAGTTAATGACTGGCAATTTGCTTGAAACCCCGCAGAACGGGAAATTACCGAAGGGTGAACTATAATTGGTAGTAATTTCTTTAATGTTCCTAATTAGCTGGCAGAATTTGCTTAATAATTTATTTGATTTGAGTCGATACTAAAACATTATGATGTCTTACTTAAAGGAAGATATTTTAACTTTGAATTTACGTACTTGCAGATTAATTATAATTAATCATTTTTAAATAACATTGAAGTTATCCAAGTTAATTGTTTAATTTATCCAATTAATTCCTTTCCACAAATTAGTCTAAGCAGCGTAAATAAAATCAACGCATAAATCCAAAATTAGTCATTCAGCAAATCGTATTTCATTACAAAACTGTGCATGGTGAATACCATAAATTAAAATAATTGCTCATTGATTTATGATAATTGCCACAATTTATGAAATTATCCTTCTCGGCCCTTCAATATTTTCTATTATTTAGCATTTAAAGGTCAGCATTTAAAGGTTGTTGTGTGCTGACGGAAAATAAAGCCTGCACTTATATAGTAAACAACCGCAAAATCGATTCAATCGGAAGGAAATCGCAAAGTTGAAATACAAAATAAAATGTGGTTGTGTGGATTGCGAAAAGTATTCAATTTGCGCATCTGTTGAAAGGACACGCGACATTCTTTCACTTTCAGCGAATCAAAGTAGCTGACACTTCTGGGTCTTTCGTCGCAAAAATTGAAAAAAAAAAGAACAATTCCGTTGGCTGCCAAATTTGCTGCACAATTTTATGGGAATTTGCGGAATTTGCATACTCAGCCAAATTGAGTGCGGGCCAAAAAAGAAGTATGAAAGTCAGTTATTGCTGCCAAATTCGCTGGGGAAAATCGTCAGAATTTCCCGGCAAACACCACACAAATTATGAGTATACTATGTGGTATGTCGATGGGAATTTCCGCCAAGGTCCACTCGGAAGTAATTAGTTCTCTTTGGCCTTCCGTCTAGGAGTGATTATTATTATTATTGTTATTATGGCGAGTTTTACAGGAACAAACGGGAGTTTAGCACGGATTTATAATGGCATCAAACTTAATTAGGCTGCCAGAAAAGAGAAGAAAAGAAGTGAAAAGCGGAGAAAATGGAGAAAAATACAAATTACGTTAATCAAGTGAAATTTGCCTAAATTAGGCTGAAAATGTTCACGACCCCCAGGGAAGGAGGGCATTGGGTCTTGACTTTAGTCTTTTGTTTGCCCCTGGAGCCCACGTAGCCCCCGGAAAAACCCACTCCATGCCTGTCGCCTGCAGCCGAGGGCAGCCATAAATCTGGTGCCAAGTTTTTCCCAGTGTTTGTTATGAGTGAAAAGTTCCTTAGACAACAGCAATTATCATAATAGAAAAGGCTGCCCAACTTGGTCGTTGTGTGTGGGAAGCTCCAAAAAGAAGGCAACGAAAAGTTTTCAATTCAAAACATCGTAGGTGTGTGTGTGTGTTTGAGTTGTTTTTCCGTTTAAAGAGTTTTAAACAAATATGTAAATGCACATTGAAAATATTCCCAAACGCTATTTGCATTATCCAATTTAAAATCGTGTATAATATGCCTTGAATGAAATAAATATGTTAATTATTTGCTTGTGTGCCCAAAACCCCTTTTGGATTTGCGTAATAGTAAATAAAATATCTAATGTGCATTGGCAATTGGCAGGTAATTAGCACATTTTTCATGTTAAACATTATCAGTTATACATTTCAAAAGCGAAATTAAAACGTGCGTATTACACGGCGTATACGCAATGCTGATTATGTGATATTGTTGACCGGGGCTTAGTTGTCTATACCCTAATTAAGTTCTTGTTTCTGTCTGCTGAAGTATCTAATTAAATGTGAAATCGATAGTCGAAAGGGAATGTAAGACTCGTATATCACGAGACGTCAGCCAAATGAGAGCAAAAACACCAAGGAATTGTGGTTAAGATGAAGGCATAGTCACGTAGCTAGACAGGTAATTTAATATAGATTTCTTTCTATATATATAAATCAATATTTCGATGGGGTCTAGTAACCTTTAAAAGCAGTTTGCAACAAATGCTGCAGCATATTTTTAATTAGCTATTATGTTCATTGATATTTCCAGAATATTTATAAAGCCATTTTAAAAATAGTAATTTTATAATTCTGTTTTAAGTGTCTTCGCCAAAAGCCTGGCTTCAAAGTATAAGCTTGGCCATTTCTATTTAATGACAATTTTGATTAAAATTTGTCTTTTATGTTTACCAGACAACTTAATTTGAAAAAAATCTCTTATTTCACATTGGTAAGTCATAAATAAATCACTAAATAAGCATTTAAATGCCATAAAGCAATCTCTGCACGACACAAGTGCATATAAAACACGAAACCATTTCCTAGAAACAGTCTCTGCCCATTGAGGTGCTCGAAAATATTTTTATTGCAATTCAGCAATTCAAATATCATGCATATATGCACAATTTCATCAACGATTGGCATTGTAGACACTCGTCAATTGCACTGTTTGCCAACCAGAGTTTTATTTCAAGTTCATTGATCCGTAATCAGTGTCGTGGGTGTGTGTGTGTTGGTTATATGCAAAATATTTATAGCATTTTGCAAACAAACCAAACGAATGCATCTTTTATCAACAGTCAGTCGAAGTGGGGAATATTTATAGAAATTTTTGCTGGTTATTTAGTGCTCAGTGTGGTGCCCAATTAATTTGAAATTAATTATGACTGTCGACTATTTTGTGGGTCTACACAATACCCATCAATCAGGGCATCCATCATGGTTAGACATACAAAAAAGAAAAAAGTGAGGGAAATTTGATGCCTGAGAGACAACTGAACAACTGAACAACAGCTGAAAATGGCAATGAAAATGGATGAATGTGAGCGATTCGCTTATTGAATTTTCGGTGGAATTGTGTCTGTTGCATTTTGAACAGAAAAGGGCAGAAATGGCACGGCTCATTGGTATTGCTCATACGCCGTGTGGCCCGCAACAGACAAAAGAGGCAACGATGGCAGCCAGTCGATCCCCCGAGGTGGGTGTATTCAGCAGCTACATAAATCCATGGGCAGCCATCGAACAAGCTTTCCCTAATTAATGGGGTTTTGGTCATTCATGTGGCTACTGGCTAATCAAAGAGGAGGAGCTGCCTTGGACAAAGGCAGCCAGCCACCAGAAATTAATTAGCGACATGTTCTTTCACATCAGCAGTACTGTGTATGGCTGTCCCGATTAGCATAATCTTTAATATGCTAATCAGTTTTCCGCTTCCCCAGAGCCACCTTCTTAGCTCAGAGTCCTCCTTTGATGGAAGTCATCCTCCGACGGCGATTGCTGCTCATTTCCGCTGGCCAACGGATGTCGTCGGTCCAATGAAATTACAGCACAATTTCTGCTAGTGCTTCTGCTGAGTTTTATGTGCACTGGGAAAAATAATGTTCTATTCTATTCTCTTTATAAAATCCAATAAAATAACTACACAATTTCTGATAGTGCTTCTGTTGAGTTTTATGTGCAAAACGATTCTAGAAATTAAGTTAATATTGAGAATCTTTAGATCTTTGTTTAACTATATTTCAAAGAAATAAATAGTTATTTTATTTTTGGTTACTTATTAATTATTAATTAAATTTTATCAGTGCACCATAGAGTTCTGCTTCAATTTCGATAAGGACACTTCTTTTGCGGCAAATTTCCTTTAAGAATTTTTCGCCCAGTTTGTGCTTCATTGATTTCCCATTGTTATTGCTCCGGCGGACGACGCTCGAGAAGATCTGAAAAGGTTTGCCAAATCGGAAAGTTTGAGGCAGTCTGTGATTGAATTTGCCAAATATTGTTTGCCCAGAAGGGTGGCCGGACAAGTAAAAAAAGAAAGTTGGATTAAAGCCCGATTCTTGGAAAACATTTTCCCAGTGAAAATGCTGTCAACGATATGCATTTGAGTTTATTTCTAAAGGGGGTTTAGTTTTCACACAGAGTGATATTGATTTTAAACGTTAAATGCCTAGGAAAGGCTTAAAATATTGAATGGAAAAATACTTGAAAGGATTTAATCTGCCTAGAAATAGAAAATAATTCAGCCAGTTTAAGATTAAATAGTTGTATTTTTTAGGGCTCTACTCTTAAATTGTTTTACCTTCTATATTGTTCGATTTAATGTACCTGAAATTGTTTTCTAGGGATTTGTTTAACCTTACATCACTTGCTCTCAATTTTTTCAATGAAATTTCCTGTCTGCTTTCAATTCGCCCGCAGAGACTTTCTCACCGAGTGCCTGTTCCCATCACCGACACGACCGTACGAGTTGCCATGGGAGCAGAAAACCATTTGGGCCATCATTTTCGGCCTGATGATGTTTGTGGCCATTGCCGGGAATGGTATTGTTCTCTGGATTGTAACAGGTAAGCGCCTGATGGCAATGGCCTGGTCTGGTCCATTCGACAAAGCGGCTTTAAAGCAGTTAAGAGGAGAGAGAGAGAGAGGGTCGAAAAAATAACAAAATCACGTATACGCCGCATGGGCCGCAGCCACGCTCTAATATCCGGCAATTTTTGCCTCGGCCATCACGTTTTGAGCTCTTCCTTCCCTTTATCTCTCCTGACTTGGGTTTTCCCTCCCTAATGTACCGATTTTGCCCGATTTGAACTCCACAGGACATCGCAGCATGAGAACGGTCACAAATTACTTCCTGCTGAACCTGAGCATTGCCGACCTGCTGATGTCGTCGCTGAACTGCGTCTTCAACTTTATATTCATGCTGAATTCCGATTGGCCATTTGGCTCGATTTATTGCACCATCAATAATTTCGTGGCCAACGTCACGGTCTCCACATCGGTCTTCACCCTCGTGGCCATCAGCTTCGATAGGTGAGTAGAGTCTTTGCCTTGGCGTCATCTAATCCTTGCATAAGCACATCCGTTTTCTGGGTTACCCGTCTCTGTCATGTCATTCAATCCTTCCTTCCTCCTGCAGATACATCGCCATTGTGCATCCGCTAAAGCGGCGAACGTCGCGTCGGAAGGTGCGCATCATCCTGGTCTTGATCTGGGCACTCAGCTGCGTGCTCTCGGCGCCCTGCCTGCTCTACTCCAGCATCATGACCAAACAGTAAGTTGGCAATTGCCAGTCCGTATTCGAGTTCACGGAACCAATTCGAATTTGATTTGCTTATCCATACTAAGGGCTATGAGAAGGTTTGGATTCAAAATGCAGGCTTCCTATGATATTTACTTAAGTTTATTTTTTATATAATATTATACATTTTATAATGGATACTTAATATACCATTTCGTATTATAATTTATATTCGAAAAATGGTGTAAATGTTGACTTAAAGGGTATACAAACTTATCTTGGACATAACAAACCTTTCCATTATTGTTTCTGCTTCGCCAGTTTGCGAAACGCAAAGCATAAACAAGCTTGTAAGCCAGAGCTTAGGAGGCACCAAGGGGGAGACGGATCCCTGTGGAGTGGCGAAGCAGTGGAGGAGCTCCCGCAGCTCCTGTATCGATTTGAGAGGGCAAACAGATATAAAATGAAATTCCTTCCACCTTCCTGGAATGCTGCCATATTTTTTCTGTATTTTTTTTTTTTTTAGCATATTTCTTTATTTTTTCGGTGTTGATATAAGCATTCACATCCATCTAAATCACCTCGTCGCCTCGGCTCCGACGCCTGCCTTCATTTGAATTTTACGCAAATTTGCAACATTTCGGGGAGAGCGGTTTGTGTGCCGGTCGGGTGTCCTGTTTAATAGAATTGAAGCATTTTTTATTTAGACTCTGCGCAGGCGGAGGAGTCGAGCCCTATTCGGGATAAAAGGTCTCCCTGGGCAACAGACTTGAGGCATAATAAAGATGGCAAGTTCATATATCAAAATGTGATAAAGAATAGCCGAGGCTCAGGGCACGCACAAATATACACAGAAGGTCCTGGACTGTAAGAAGAAGTCTATGAAAAATTGGATGAACATTTTCGAAGAAAACCTCAAAGGTGATAGATAGTTAGAAGGCTAAAAAGGATATTTACAATGGCAAATAAACCAGCGAAGACAAGATTAGCCCTGCAAATAAATAGCTCTTGCCAGGTGTATGAGGGTGTGTAAAATTGGATATTTATAGGTGTGATTAGGCGCATTTATTTGGATTAAAATTAAATTTACATGCAGCACTTCAGGGAACTGAGCTATTTTTAAAAGTGCGAGGGAAGATAATACAAATAAGCAAATTCATTTAAAGGAAGTGCAAGTTTAGTAATTAAATAGCAACACAAGATGCTAATTAATAATAAAAGCTTATACTTAAAATTGATGAGAAAAGAATAAAATGTAGGTATATTAAATAATATCAAAAACTAGAGCAGACTTTCGTGTTAAATCAATTATCGAGTGACCAAAAACCGAGGCATTCAAAATCAATTGAGTATGCCTGAAGTGGCGCAACTCCCAAACGACCGTCGATGGGGGAACATCAACATTTTCGGGGCGGAACTCGATGGTCAAATTATGACCTGTCTGTCTGCCAGTTGCCATAGCCATAGCCCTGTTATTAATGGCCCGAAAAGTGCCGGTAAACAGTGTAAATGGGGACCGAGTGTTATGACGGAAAGGGAAGGGATACCGTGGCAGCCCTTTTAAGTGCTCGACAACTTTGAGGCATAAAATATTTCATAATTTGGCAAATTAAGTTTTCAATTTCGAGGACGACGGAAGTGAAATTTGTCAGGCCTGTAAAGGCAAACTTTCTTCGTCCTTCGAGTCGCTGAAGCGTGAAACTTAACAGCTTTTTTACGTTCGAGGAAACTGCGGCGGGTGTAATTAAATGATGAAATTTTGATTTCGGTGCTTCCGAATTATAAACATTTGAAGGCATAAGTACCAAGTATTGATTTATCGAATTCAATGGTCCATTCACAGATATTACAATGGAAAATCGCGAACAGTTTGCTTTATGATGTGGCCGGATGGAAGATATCCCACCTCGATGGCGGATTATGTGTGAGTAAAATATAAACATTTTTCTCTTAATAATTGGTTTATAAGATATAACAGATACCGTATAGAATTTCGTAGCTTTTTTTGCATTTATTATTAGTATATTTATTTAATTTTTTCTTGAAACAGTTACAACCTGATCATCCTGGTGCTGACCTATGGCATTCCCATGATCGTAATGCTCATCTGCTATTCCCTTATGGGTCGAGTCCTGTGGGGCAGTCGCTCGATTGGCGAGAACACGGACCGCCAGATGGAATCGATGAAGTCCAAGCGAAAGGTGGTGCGCATGTTCATTGCCATTGTGTCCATCTTTGCCATCTGCTGGCTGCCGTATCACCTGTTCTTCATCTACGCCTATCACAACAACCAGGTGGCCTCCACGAAGTATGTTCAGCACATGTATCTCGGTTTCTACTGGCTGGCCATGTCCAATGCCATGGTTAATCCCATTATTTACTATTGGATGAATAAGAGGTAAGTGGGGCTTTCTAATGCGGGAAAGCGAGTTATAGTTGGGAAAAATCTATATTAAAATCCAATCATCATTAGTTTCCTGGAATCTGCAAAGATTATCCCTTATTTTGTAATAAAACTACGAGATATTTTTACATTTTATTATAATTCTAACCCCAACTCATAAAACTTGACTTTTAAAATGAGTAATACAATTAAAAATGAAATATTTTTCGCAGATTCCGGATGTACTTCCAGCGCATCATCTGCTGCTGCTGTGTCGGCCTCACCCGCCATCGCTTCGACTCGCCCAAGAGCCGGCTGACGAACAAGAACAGCTCGCACCGGCACACACGAGGTGGGTACACCGTCGCCCACTCGCTTCCCACCTCCTCACCCCCAGCCACCCAGACCAGCAATCCCAAGACCAACCACCCATCATTCCTGACCATCCAAGCCATCCAAGCCTCCACCCAGTCGCACTTGTCTCACCCGATCCCCACGCCACATTCCGCAGCCGAGACCAAGAGTCAGTGGAAGCGCAGCACAATGGAAACGCAGATCCACCAGGTACCCACGACCAACTCGTGCCGGGATCAGCGGCAGTTGACGCAGTCGCAATCGCTGGGAGCGCACAGCGGAGGAGGCGTTGGCACGCCGCGTCCTGCGGTCGAGTGCATCATGGAGCGGCCTCTGGACGGGAACAGTTCGCCGCTCTGTCTATCGATAAACAACAGTGTGGGCGAGAGGCAACGCGTGAAAATCAAATACATCTCCTGTGACGAGGACAATAATCCTGTCGAGCTGGAGCACAGTAGCGGTCCCAAGCAGCTGTGATGTTGTCCCCAGCAGTGGTGTCGCGACTGCGACGGGAACGGTCGGTGAATTTTCCAGGGTTTCGTTCCGTTCTGATGGCGAAGCAAATGCAATTTGCCATTGCTTACTCTTCTGTACATACACACACGCCCATGCACACGAAAAAAGAGAATATATGTATATTGAATATAGAACAGGCCGAGCAGGGTGGATCGATTTTGAATACAGATAGAGAATTGAAGGTGGAAGAAGGTTTACTATTCCAAAGCGGTTCTCGTTCTGAGAAGCTTTTAGGTTTTTATTAGGAAATTAAAAAATATTAAAAAAAATTATGTTTAACAAAACAAACTTAGTTTGGGTTGTGATAAATATTTTATATATTTTGTATAATTTCAAGAATAAACCACTGTACATTTATTTTTAAGACCCTTCTTTCGCAATTAGCAATTAGCCTTTTTCCAAAAAAAACGCCATAAACTATATAAACCCCCAGAGTTTAATATTTTAAAGTACGTTCCTTAATTCATACTGTTTCATAATTTGCAGGACAGAAAACTTTGTACAGGATATTTAACTTAAGAACCTCTTTTAACTTAATTGTAATGCTGAAAAAAACTAGACTCAATTGTAAATATATAAAATTTAACTAAAGTCCTAAAGTTTCTAAACAATATAAATGATGTATTCCTTTCGCCACTAGAATTCCCCTTCAAGTCAAATTATTTCCAAATCGATCCACCCTGATGCATAGTCAAAGTTAAATTTCCGGTTGTCAAAAGAATAAAAAAGAGTTCAACTTAAGCGAAAATGGGAAATACATTTTCAACAAATTGAATTTATATATGTCTTTGTATAAAGAGATCAATCTATCGACACTTTAACCATCGAAGAGCTGTAAGTTTTAACTGTTGTAAACGTCTAGGCTAAGCCGAAAAGTGTAAATACAAGCTAAGGTTTATGGATACATATATCCGCATTTACGTTGTGCTATTCGTTTGAATAAATCAATTAAAGGAGCCATGACATTTTTCACTTTAAAGCTGTTTAAAGCTTACTTTATGAATGGAAACAGAGGTGTCTACGACTTCTCGGTTTTGTTGTACGTTTTATTCTTTTTCGTTTTTGCCTTTGCCATCTGTAAATATATGTGAAATTGCAAAACAATGTGTGTAGTTTATTAAAAAAAAATAAAATGTTAACCAGGAAACACTTGCATCGGACATGAATATTTATTCCCTCTGACCTATTTGCATGGACAATTAGTTGCGCATTTCGGAAAAAGGCTAATAAAGGTGGCTTCCGGGTGATACAAGCCAAGGCTTTCATGGTCAGCTCCGGGCAAAGGACAATATTTTCATTGGTAATTGAAAATGCCCATGGAGGTGAGCTTAATTCCGCTTGAATAAATACTAATTCGGCTGAGAAAAGCGTGCTGCTAAAATTATTAAGTCCCAACCCAAAGGGAATTTGCATGCCATTATGTTCGCACACGTATTATTTATGCAAAGCTCAAAGTCCAATCCCATTCAGACGAGTTAGCCATGCACGAGTTAATATTTGTGTGTCTGTAGTTATTACTGACAGCCACAGCCATGGCTCAAAAGGTCCCTTAATGCAAATTCCCAAAAAGGGGAATCCTTTCAAATGCCCCAAATCATATCTTCTTCAGTTTTCGACCTTCCACACTGCCTTTCAATAGTTCAATTTTAAAGGATTTCGCCTCCTTTGAATCCGACGGCAAACAGATCTCCGAGATATACGCATAATGGCGAACCGATTACAAAATGTAATTGAAATGCAAACCGAGACTGGGGCTGAAAGCGTATACCAAGCCACCAAATGGTGGTCCTCTGGGGGCCCCCGTTCAACTATCTAATTGAATCACAGACAAGTTTCGAATGCGAATCGAAACCAGAACGAGCGTCAGAGCCAGAGCCAAAAACCAAAACCAAAAACCTGAACCCAAACACAAAACGTTACATTTTTACTGCGAGCTTTGGCAGCTTGGAGAAAGAGTGGCGCTAATGCGACAAATTGCTCGTTGTAATGGCTCTACAATGGACCGATGGACCTGGCCGGGGTTTTATTCGAGGTAATAGGATTTGATGGGTTCCGACAGCTCCGTTCACCGAATAACAATTTGCATAATAAGTTGATGTTTGCATCGACTTTGAACCACTTGTCGTCGAGCCCCCCATTGTCATGGCAGCCGCAGAGAGTGAAAACCAAAACGAAAGCGAAAGCCTTTAAGGCATAAAAAAAGGCAAACCAAAAAGCAGTTGAAAAGATTCTATTACCACAAATACAGGCATATGTTGGGGGGTATATATCCCAGCAATAACTTTATATGCATTCACATGTTTGGTGCTCCGTTTCCCCGGCAACAGACTGAGCCTGAGAGTCCTGGGGTCACACCACAAATTGTCTGAGCAAGTATGAGTGGTCTGGCCTCGAATTAGGTCCCTCGATGCGTAAGTATCTCATATCAAAATGAAATGGCTAATCAATTTTCATATGTGGCCATAAAAAAGAGGTCAGAACTATTGCCCTAATGGAGGGGTTTGGTAGTAAGCTGGAAAAAACATACAAAACGTAGCCAAAGGTTAAGGTTCAATTGCATTACCAAAATTAACGCCGCATCCTGTAATTCCAACTGTCATGGTCATGTTTCTGTCAGAGCATCCGTTTCTCTTGTTGTTGTTTCTCTCTCCTACGCAACAAGGATTGGCATTTTATGTATTTATTTTCAGGGCAACAATTTGTGTTTTATTTATGTAGTGAGAGTGGCAAAAATAATACGGAAAAGCAGTGAACAATTCTGCGGAATGACAACGCAATTTTAAAAGTTTCAAGGGAGAGAGTGAGTGCCTCAGTTAATTGGCTTTGTGATATTTGAAAGGAATGTTATAAATGTAGAATATTGGTGTTTGGATAACAAATTAAATTTTTGAAAAAATTGCTAAGGAAAAATATGATTGGGAAATAAAGGGTTTTATATTAGTTGGGTAATTTTTTGAGAGATAGTTACAAGAATTTATTTAAATAGAATGTTTACCATATTGTATATTATTTATCTAATCCACATTCCCCATCACATCACCTCTCAGAAATCTACTCCCCTCAACCCAGCCTAGAAATCTCAATCACTTCACTTTTCTTTCAGTGATAGTAAACACACACATTGTCAGAGAGACAGTTCTAGCTGTTGTTCAGTGTATTCAGCACCAGACATCCAATCGGAAAACGGGGGCTTAAATAGTAAAATAGTCAAATTTGGAAATGATCAAGTACCTGAAGCTAATGGCCGCCGTCTCTGGGTTGATGTTCCTGGGCTATTGCGTGTATTTCGACAAGAAGCGTCGCAGCGATCCGGACTTCAAGCGGAAGCTGCACGAGCGCCGCAATCGTCGCCAGGCTACCAAAGCCATACCTCGGGACCTCAATGATAAGGATATGGAAATGTACTTTCTCGATCAGATGCAGCGCGGCCAGGTCTTGATCATGAACGGCGATATCGAAGGTGGAGTGGATCATCTGATCAACGCTATCTTTGTGTGCAACCAACCGGCCAAGCTGCTCCAAGTGCTCCAGACCACGCTGCCAACGGAGATCTTCACCATGATGCTGATCAAAATGCATGCCTATGAGAGCGGCCAGAAGCGTCCAGATTTTCCACCCGTTGTCGCCAGCGAGGTGAGCATCAATGCCGTCGAATGAGTAGAGCCCGGATCCAGCTCCATTGGATTCATTCCAAATTAAAGGTCCTTTTAGTTTTCTCAAACGGAAAATAGTATTTTGTTCATTCGATTCACTTGCAAATACAGTCAATATTTAACAACCATGCAGAAAGTACTATTGATGAGTTTGATTTAAAAATTATATAAAGAACTCTGCAGGATACCTTGCTCAATAAGACTGTTGTTATTCCCGACTTCCTCTTGCTTTTGCTTATCTCTTTTTCGTGTTTGCTTGTTGCCATGGCCAACTGGAGTGGCAACAAATTTTCTATGAACTTTGCAAGCATCTGGCTTAGTTGGCAAATTAACGACTTCACTTATAATGTCGAGCGTAAAATTTTCCACTGCGATGTTATTTGCAGCATTTCAGGCATTGAATTCGTGGAATTGGAAATGGCTTTGTTGAGCTTAGCTGCAGTCAAGGTTTTTTGGGAATCAAAGCACCGGGAAAAGGGCAACCTTTTGTGTAATTAGAATTATAAGACCTTTAACCTTGAGAAATCTAACCAGCTTTTCAGTCTAGCTTCAATCAATCAGTGGTCTGGACAATTAAAAGCCTATTCAGCATTCCGTAAGCTCCAAATTATCATGACAATCGAGTTGTGGCAACTGGGATCTGCAACTGTTCCGTCGATTGTTCGCAAACAAAATGTCTGTCGGCCTATTTCCGGCATTATGCGAATGCCTGTGTAACCAAGGGGGGGATTTGCGGTTTGCTAGCATAACACACACACACACACACTACACTGAGCTGACCTCCCTTCACGGGCATTTATCATCCGGATGCGTTTGATTGATGGTCGTGGTGCCGCCGATTGGCCAACTGGCCATGAAATCCAAATCGTCCTCTCTCACACCGCATAAAGCTGTCGTGTTGGCCATTAGGGACATCTTGGCTGGAGCATTAACCCCTAGAGGAACGTTATAGGTCGAAAGTTGGACAAAGAACGCTCATTCATCTGAAGAGTAACCCTTTGCCAAAGTGTTTTATTGTGTGCCAAAGTGTTAACTGGACACTTGTTCAGGCAACTTGGCTGTCAATTAGTAAAAAAAGAGGTTAACTAATTTGAGGTTAATTTAATTTGAAATCCACGTTAGCACGTTTTTAATTCAATATAATGCGATTTCTTTAGCCTTAATTACATTTTAAACAGACATTAAGAGACATCAAACAGTTCAATACTAAGCAAAGCATTTAAATTTAAGCTTTGGCAAACCCTTTTCTAAACGTTTTATGGCGGTCTTAACTCTTAACTTAACGAGAAAAACAATCAGTTAACGCCTTTTTGCTGGAAATTAATGAGTGGAAAGTTCAACTGATTCTTCTGGTTCCCCTCCCTGTGATTCAGCGAATGTAATTACATAATGACCTTTTGCGGCATTCTCCTTTGCTTTCTCCGCTCATTGTTCAGTGCCCTAGTAATTACCAGATAAAATAGACAGACAAACGGACAAACGGAGGGACAGGCGATTGGATAGAACATCCGAGCGAAGCTCCTGGAGCGGCAGCTAATTTAATGAAATATCCTGGCAGAATCCTGAGCATGATTGTCTGCACTAATAGCGATGCTGTGCTCAATTATTCCGTCTCATTTGGAATATTGGGAAATTAATAGGAGGTATTTGACCTTCGAAAAGCAAGGCGCCACTCAAAAAATTCCGCTTAAGCAAAACAATATTAACTTTAACTTGAGTAAATACTTTTATTGAGATGTTAGATGGAATTACTCTAGCATCATATACAGAAATAATTAATAAATTTAGTTAGCTTTCTGTGTTAAGGACATTGTACATATTAATATCTTTCTTATATTTACTTATTTATGCGCCCTTTTATTGACAGCTGTTTTGGTTTCAGAATTCGATGTGTGTTGGCCATTAACATAAAGATATTAATTAGGGCTACGACATGGCCAAACAAGGAAAACACTGAAAGAAACCGAATCTTTAAAAAGAAAAGTAAAATATTTATATATAAAAACAACTTTTGTGGTGTTCTTTAATATCTAAAAATATTTTTAAATTGTAACTTTTATTATTTTTATCCACTTTACTCATCTAACTAGGAAGCCTTTATTTTCACAAGCATTGAAAATTACTATTTTTCAAGAAAAGAAAATATTAACTTAAGAAAATTTTAATAATATTTCAAGCTTGTTTTCTATCCCTTAAAATATTATCCAAATTTTCGTCTCTATAGTAAACCCCGAATTTGAGCACGAATTTTGTCTCTCTTGGTTACTCGGAAAAAGTAGTTAAGCCTCAACTAGAAATCTTGAATGTGATATGGGACATCCCCAAGAAACTGAGTAGTGTCTGGGATATGGGTGCCACATCAAACAGGACTAATTGGTCGGCGCAGCCACAGCAGCACAAGAGCTGTGGGCACGGGAGATTAATGCCGGGGAAGTGTCATTATCGCTGATGCCTAATGAATTCGTGGCTGGCAAATTGAATTAAACATACGACTTGGGGGAAATCTCACGCCCCGCCCAAAATGGTAGATATTTCAGACATTTTTTTGGTTTACACAGCCACTCGAAGCGAAATATATTTGACAAATATCACGCATACGCCCCATGAAACCAGCAATCTCAGCAATCCAATGAAAAATCTAGCTTTAGCATAGTTTATGTTTGTGGGGAAAGTGTAGCTTGTATTTGTGTGTTGCCCTTTTCCGGATGTGCCACACCTTATGGTGGACTAGGCAGAATTTTTTAATAAACAGCATCAGGCCAGACAGAAAATGGCAGGGGCGAAACTTACCATAACGACGTTTTTTTCCTGCTAGCTTCACCCTCAGCAGAAACCATTTGACAACGCACGTAAGTTACACAGACCAACATTCGCACACACTCACAGAAATGCCCATAAGCAAACAAACTTGCTCACACGCACGGAGACTCTCATTTCCTTTCACCGGAAGTGGTTTGTGTGCGCGAATGTGCGAGCGGGCGAGCGGTTGAGCATGTGTGCGTCAAGTTTTATATCATCTCTCTGCAGTTTTTTCGCACGTTCCACAATTTTTACCCTCAGCTATTTTGAATTTCATTTTTATAACCGATGAGAAGGGTATAAAGGGTATACTGTATTCGAGGAAATCATAGTAAACATTATTTAGTTCAAGGTGATATTTATTTACATAACCATTATAAACTGTGTAATTAGGATTAAAGAAGTTTTTTCGATATAAAATACATTGAATAACTAATTATCTATAGTTTATCTATCGAGGATATAGAATTTTTATTTGTTTTGAAAGGTGTATCTTTTGCGCTTATGGCATCTTTTCCCTTTAATCCCCTATCCCTATTCCTAAAGCACTGGGTAACTCAAAGTCTTTAGCCTTGTCCAAATCATTCTTTCTGGTTTGTTATGTTTACTTTTCGAGAGACAACAATATATGGTGTGTATGTACGTTCCCACTGGATGATGTTCAGGTTCACTTCCCCGCATGAATTACGTATACGACATGTGTGCCGAGTATGCCGTGAGATCGGCATGAAGAAGAGCCCAACTCTAGCTAGTCGACGTTGTTGTTTGCCACAGGGTTTTTTGGGCAAACAATCGAAACATGAGATTCTCGGCAATCAAGTGGGGATTTTCCAACACGTTTTGGCCCGCTGCACGGCAGGTATGTGTGCCCATATTGCTAGTTCCATAGCTTTCACTTTACGAAAGAGATTATTGTAAGTTTCTCAGCTGGAAGTTACTTACCATACATATATCCAAATCGTGTTTGATGCAAGGAATTTTCGATAAAGCAGCGCGCAATAAGATATGTTCAATTGCATCCTGTTGACTGGAATTTCATAAATCCAAAAACGATTGTATGAATTCAGAGGAGACTACACAAGGAAAATTATTTATATTTCTTTCACTTTACCTTATCCTTTCGCGTAAATAAAACTTTTTTGAGCTATTACAAGTTAAGTGAAATGCCTTCCTATCGAAACTTAATATATTATTTAAAGGTTTCTGCTTTATTTATGTTTCCATCTTGGGCTAAGGCTTTTAAAAGTTTAAAGACTTGAACAATTTATAGGCTTTCCAAGCTTGCACAAGTGAAATAACACGTTGCTTTATGGCCTTCACCATAACCTGGCCGACAAACTGCATATGGATGGCCTCGTGGAGGCAAAACTCCACTCGATTGTTAAGTGGAATTAGAGGGAGGTCTCTATTTTATTGCAGCAATTTGCCCAAAGCCAAAGCCGACATAAGGAGTACGAACGATGGTATGTATATATATTTAAGTCCTGCTGCGGCAGATATCCCTACACACATATATGTATATTGTTTGGTGTAAAGTCTGGCAAGTTTCCGAAAAAGGAAATGTGCTAGCTGGCTTTTCCTTCTTCATTTTATAAGTTTTCTAAGTATGTTTATGGAGTGTGCGTGTTGTGTATGGCTGCAACACCAGCCTTGTGGCCAGATGGGAATCCGCTTGGTCCTAGTTCCACTTTAGTCCTGCTGCCATTGCATTCTGTTTGCACAGCCGACGAGGAATAACCACTTGCCATGAAAGTCCTTTCCTTCCACACAGCTCTTCCCCAGTCGAGAGCCATGCTGGGAATGTCGTCAAAGGATTTGCGTCACAGAATTCCGAGAGTCAGCTGCATGCAGTCCTTACAAACTCATACCCTTTTGGCGGCGGCAGCTGGGAAAGCAATTTGTAGTAGTTTGGCTGCACACTTCGATTCTGGCGAGTCGAAAACTAATTCAGCTGCCGAAAGGCGGAGTCCACCGAACATACAACGGCCTAATTGCAGCCGGCCAATCTAAATGTGTCCTCGGATCCGCTGCCACTTCCACTTCCAGTTACACTTCCGCTTTTCTAGTTTGTTTTCGACGCGCCGGAAATACTGGCAACTAACGGTGCACCTGAGGCCGAGCCTCACACATAACGACACTGGGAGTGCCACTAAGATTAATGGGGGTCATCCCTTAACACCCGAAATGCACTGTTAAAAAATATTCATAATATTAGTATTTTAACTTAAATTGTTAACTCAATTCTTATTATTTTAATTGTGTTTCTTTGTTACATTTTTTAAATAATAATAATGACTCTCATAATTATTCTTTAGTATTTTCCAAATATTGGAGTTAGAG